TCCTGGAACACGGGTGCAGAGAATTACGGTGAACGTCCCAGAACAGTGTTTCCTGGACTGGGGTCCTTGATACAGTTGAACTACAAGATGCTAAACAGTAGGAGCTCCAGGAGAATTCAGTTTGTGACAAGTGGCATTATATTTAAAAGCTAGAATCTGTGATCAGAAAGACATGACTTTAACCCGCCACTTTGTTATTTATTAGCCACGTGACTATGGCAATTAACTGCTCTAAACTTCAGTTTCTTCTGTAAAATGAAGATGCTGAGAACCCCTACCTCCTATAGTATCACCCGGAGAAATGAAATAATGCTTTTTTTTTTTTGTGATACGTGCCCCTAGCAGGAACCGAACCCGGGACTCTCTGGTCCACAGGCCGACACTCAACCGCTGAGCCAAACTGGCCAGGGCGAAATAATGCTTTTGATCTGAGACCCCACAGATAACACACAGATGTTGGCTATTACTCTTCTAATACTATTCACCACCCACCTTCTTGGAGAATCAAAATGTGTAATAGCACCTTAAAGTCTCTGAGAAGTCCTGTTGAGAAGAACAGTGGTGCAGAAACTGCTCATCTCAGTCACTATCCCGAGAACCTGGGAGCAGGCCTCTTAGGCTTGATAATGAGAATGCAGTTATGATGAGGGTCAGGTAGGGGCTACTTCTGCTTTGGATGACACATTTCTACCACTCAAGGACTAGGGTGGCAATCTTCATTCAGAATTTTCAGGAATCAAAATTGAGCCCCAGAGCTTGCCTTCCAGAAGTAAGATTTAAATGTACGTTTCCTGGCTCCCCTTTCTGAATGCATCATTTCTGAGTCACCTGGCGTGTCTCACCTGCCCTGAATTTTGACACTCATGAATAAGCTGAGAAGAAAGGTATGGTTGCTCAAGAGGTAAATGTGCCCTTTTAAGTATCATAAATGAAAAAATAAAAAGGCGAGGCTGTTTTAGAGTAAAATAAAACTTTCTGCACTTCATAAAGCCCAAGGTACCATTCAAGTCAGCCTCTTGGGAGGCAGAAACACCTGAGTCCATCATGTCTTCTGGGAGGAGCAGTGTGAGGAGGCCTCAGGCTTTCTCCCATCAGGCCCGTCCCTTTAACTCCACATTCTTTTTTCACGGGGTCATTGGCTCCTGGAGGACCAGAGCTCCCTTTTCACCATCTTTGTCCTGTGAGTCTCCAGTCTGTCTCCAGATTTCTAGCAGAAACCCGTGCTGGTGAGGGTAGGTGGCGGTGTTGGCTTGAGGGAAGACTAGGATTTCTTGTTAATCTGGTTGCCTGCATCATTTACATGTTAACTAGGTCTGCCGAGCCTTTGCCCCAAGGCCTGCGGAAGACGGTCCATTTCTTTTCTCACTCACCTGTGTGGGACACTCCCCTAGACTCAGAGCACGAAGAAGGGTCTGTTGTGAATTAGTCTGTCCACCACCCACTTCAATCAAAGCCTGGTTTTTCATAACTGACGTCTGCGCCATGCAGGCCCTGGTTCTTGGTCGTCTCTATTAAAAGGCTTCACTGTGCTCCGAACATTCTGGGCTCCTCTGTGATTTCTGAAGATCCCCTCCAAACCCCTAGGTTGAGTGGTCAGAGGTTCCATTTGGTTTCCTGTGCCCTGTTTGCTGGGGGGTTGTAGTCCTTAGAAATGATGTTTGATTTTCTATCAGCTTTCCTCCTGCTGCTGAACTGCATCCAAAACAAATGCCGTAGGTTCTGACATGGCAAAGCTTAGCTGTTCAAACATGCACACCCTGCTGACATTCAAGTCCCTACATATCCCACACAGCGATGTTTATAGTCTCTGACAGGTCTGAAAAAGCATGAACGTATTTATCCTTTTCAGTGGTAGTGCAGAATACTGCAATGACTATTTCATCAAGCCTTATTCACAGTCTCCTATTTTCTTTTAGATCATATCACATTGCATGTCTACAGATACTCAGCCCAGGCGCTGGCTTACTTAAAGTGATGCTGACAGTGTAAGGAAAATGAACGGTGTTTTGAGGGAAGTGGAATTACGATCAATTACATAAATAAAATGAAGATTGTAAATTCCTAACATATGACAACCCTGACCAAGGCAGGAAAGAGCACTGGATTGGGAGGGTAGTGTCTGGGTTCAAGTTTCAACTCTACTGCTAACTAGAAGTGGGACTTTGGGAAACACTGAATTTCCTCTTCTGAACTAGATCTATGATTTCCAAGTTCACCAAGATGTAGGAATCATCTGGAGTGTCTACTCAAAAATTAGATTCTTAGCCTCAACCCAGCCACATTGAATTAGACTCTCAAGGGAAGGGATCTGCAAAAGACACACACACACACACACACACACACACACACACACACACACTACCCTGTGGACTCTTCTAAAGAAACGATTTGGGGAAACACTGAATTAGGTAATAACTAGGACCTTCCAGTTCTAAGAGGCTATGATAAAGCCTGGATGCTATGATTCACAGTGAATGAGGAAGATCTGAGGATATAATGTATGAATTCATACTTAGTATTTTATAAATATTCTTTATTTGTGTTTTGAAATGTTACTGAAGTTAATACTATGGTTTGTGTTTTATGGATCCAAGTATTCCTCAGATTTCTCTTTTCTCTTTTACTTATTGGCAGTCAAATTTGGCCTACCCAGCTCATGGTGTTATATTAAAGATATATGAGATCAGGAGGTGAAACTATTATTGTTATTGTTATTATTATTATTATCATTCTTAGTAACAGAACTACCATAGGGTAGACACTGTTTTTATGAGTTGGATAGATCTGCTAATATCTTTGGCTTTTCCTATTGGTAAAAGGCAAAACAAATAAATAAAACAATTATTTCTTTATTAATTTATTTATTTAAAAACTTTGAATGCTTATTATGTACAAAGCATTATGCTATGTTCTGACTAAAATGTTTGGAGTACCTTTCCTGTCTCCTTTTTTTTTAAACCAGGAAATCTCCCATTTAGTTATACTTTTCAATGAATAAAATGTTTTCTTGATCTCAGCAATGTAGCAATGCATTAGGAAATTAATAATATGTGCTGGGAACATTTATTTAGTTTATAGAGAATGCATGTTGCACATTTCAAAGAGAGAACTCCACAGCACTCTGTGGCCCACAAATTGCTCTTGGTTTAGGGTGCCTTTTCCTGTCGCCTTCGCTTACCCTGTGACACACGCTATGGGAGTCATGAGCTACGCCCACATTCTAGCCCATGGGTTCAAATCTGCACCATGGCACAAACCCATGTAGTGAGACCTTGGCTGTGGGAATAAGCAATGATGAATCACCTCTGTGTAGTGCTCCACAATTAATGAAGTATCTGACATTTCATTTATTTCCGCAATAATTCTCTGATATAGGCAGCTAGGTCCTGAGAGATGTCCAGAGAAGCTAATGGAGCCAGGCCTGGAGACCAGGCGATGAAGAAGGGGGTCTCCTCCACATCCACGCGGGGGTTGTGCTGTGGGAAAGATATGGGAAGTGTGATTCGAGCGAATTCTCTTAGACTTGTGCCAGCACCTATTCCAAACTCTAATAATCTTACACTTCTTTTCTCTTGTGTGTCTATTCTGATATATCCTCTAGAGTTAATGTTTTCTAAGATTACATTTCATTCATCTATTATCTTGTTTAAACCTTGGTTATATATATTCACATAAAGGTATTAAAGTCTAATGTGAAAAAAGAATGGAGTCAGCCCAGCAGGGAAGCAAGACTGTCAGAATTGTCTCCAATCCCCACTCATCCAGGTGGTTGCATAGTCACCAAAGGCAGAGTGGCAGGAGCCTCCTCACCCTCAGACAGAAGAGACAAAGGAAACTAACCTGGCTACAGGGGAGGAAACTGGCCCCTGGCAGCATGTTGGAGCATTAGAGGCAAACTTTCCTTGGAGTCAGCCGGTAATCTGTGCTGAGGTTTCTAAAGAGAGGTATCAGGTTCTAAACAGGTGCTGAGTACTTGGGAGTTCGAGTGGGTAGGTGGCATCACCTGCAATAGGACAGGGCCCCGAGGACAGGGTTAGGGAACATGGCAAAAGGCCCTGCAGCAATCAAGAGAGCCCACGAGGTGAGGTGTGCCACCCAGATTTAGCAAATAACTATGTAGGGCACCTCATTAAATGTGAATTTCAGGTAAACAGTGAATAGTGTTTTAGTGTAAGTATGTCCCACACAATGTACATGCAATTCAAATTTAACCGAGCATCCTGTGTTTTATGTGGCAATGCTGACAGGGACACAATATTTCAGAGCTTTCACAGGACAGCATCTCAATGTTTCCTGCTTCCACGTAACCTCTGGTCTTCAGCATCTTCTTCCATGTCATTACCCTGAAGGCTCTGTTCATCAGTAAGACGGGGGCGGGGGCTCATTCCAAAAATGATAATATCTGTAATATTATTTCTAATTTACATAATTAAAATTTACATTCATATAGACCATTTCCACAGTAGAATACAGTAGGTTGTTTCTTTTCCTTTTTTCTATATTGATTTTAGAGAGAGAGGAAGGGAAAGGGAGAGAGAGATAGAAACATTGATTGGCCTCCTCCTGCATGTCCCCTACTGGGGATTGGGCCCACAACCTGGGCATGTGTCTTGACCGGGAATCGAACTGGTGACCTCTTGGTGCATGGGTCTATGCTTAACCACTGAGCAACATTGGCTGGGCGGTTGTTTGCTTTTTTAACATAAAATGTCATTTTATAGATAAGAGAAGAAAGTGCCTTTCACTTCAGTTTTTTTTTTTTCCCCCATAATTTGGTAATGTTCATTTTTGGCAATCAATTGTGGAGAAGATAATTTACAAAATTAATTGTGAACATGTATAGAAACTCGTTATTTTCTAAATAACACTCTTTATGTAAAATATAAAACCAGGAATTAAAAATTAATACTACTTGTGTTAGTTGTCATGAGGAAGTATTTTGTCTAAATTGGATAAAATATCATTAAAAATACACAGTTGTTTTTTTTCTTCCCACTCAGGTCCTGCACCGTTCTTAATTTTCTCTCATCAAAATAGTATCTTTAGGATTGACCTGGAAGGAACCAATCATGAGAAATTGGTGACAGATGCTGGCGTATCAGTGATCATGGATTTTCACTACAGTAAAGAAAGAATCTATTGGGTAGATCTAGAAAGACAACTCTTGCAGAGAGTTTTTCTGAACGGGACAAGGCAAGAGGTGAAGTACCAATTCCTGAAGTATTTGAGGGACTTTTGTATAGGCTGACGAACATGATATAGTTAATTAGAAACATACGGATAAATGAAAATTATATTACAGTTCAAATGTGTGTCTGGCATTTGTAGGCATTTGTTAAATCGGCATCTGTGGCATGTTACTGAACAGGTTCATGAGCATGGCAGTGATATTCAGAAGCCCCCAAGAGGAGAAAGTGAGGATGTCAATGTGATTTTGAAAATATGTCAGCCTATTAAGTCAGATCACCATTTTATGGTTAAAACAGACTATTTGCATGACCATTTTTTTACTCCAGTGATTCTCAGCTGGGGACAATTTTGCCCCTCAGGGGATATTTGGCAATGTCTGGAAACATTTCTGGTTGTCACAACTGGATTGGGGGGAGGGAGAATGTGCTCTTGACACTCGTGAGCAGAGGCTGCTGAACACCCTACAACATGCAGGACAGTCCCCACAACCAGGGTTATCCAGCCCCAAACATCAGTCGAGCTGAGGCTGAGAAACCCCGTTTCATCTAAAACCCCTTTTGTGGGTTTTGGCACCTGATGTTTAGAAAGAAAACCTTTTTCTTTTGTATTCTCAAGGTGTTTGCACTCTGAAAAAATAATGAAGCAGGTAAATATAAAGTATTTTGCTTCAAGTACATACAAAGGATCTTTAATTCTTTAAAAACTAATAGAACCCTTCAGAGAGTCCCAGGAGGAATGTGCTCTCTGTTCCGGGAGCTAGATTACAGAGAGCGCGTGGCTAGAGAAACCTCAAGAATTTATTCACAGCACAAAGTGCCCACTGTTTTTTGTTTTTTATTATTATTTTTTAAAACCAAATCTTCTCTCCAGTTATTCTTAAAAGCTTCAATTAGGTGCTAATCTGTTTTATCACATCTTTAATACTTGTTAATCTCACTTTTAACAAGGATGGCTACTCATTATTTTCCAGCCATCTGTAGAACTGTTTCAAAATCTTAAGTCTAAGAATCTGGAGGGTTTCCTGTCACAGAACAGGAAAAACAGTTAAACAGTTGTGAATTTATGTCAAGTCAATAGAAAAGGATTAGTCTGATGCCTAAAATCCACTATTATATTCCCTCCTTTGGGTTAAAACTGTTTATAAAGGACAACCATTAAAATGTAAACAGTTTACCTGGGATGAGCTATATCTAATATATTAGCAGCTGGTTCAATGGATTGACCAGATTACTCTGAGATGTGGGAATAGTACAGGCTCATGAGAATGTTAGGTCTCTGCCCAAACGCATTCAGTTAGGTCAGGTCAGTAGCTGGAAATCAGCAATGGTGAGAATATTTACACCATGGAAATCGGCATCCTTGCTGTGGGAACTTTTCCCCACCTTCTACCCTCCACCCCCATTACCTGCATACACTGGAATGAGGAGATAACAGAGATTTTTGTGGAGTTTTTTGTTTTTTTTTTAATTAGAGAGAGCAGGAAACACTACCCAAGAGACATAAGAGAAGCCTTGCTCTTCTGGTCATAGGGTCATAGTGCAAGGGCACTCGCGATTGGAGAAAGGGAGGGGCCTGATGGAGGAGGAGGGGCCAGAAAAAAAGTGAGGCCTTAATGAGAAATTCATTTACTTTGGAGCTCTGTGCACAGACGCCAAGGAATCTTGCCAGAATTTGGTAAAGCTTGGAATTGAATTCAGGTGCGAATCTGGAAAATTCCACCAGCAAATAGAATTGAATAAACTGTCTTTAAGGTAGCATCAGAATTCCACTGTTAGCTATAGTTGAAATTATTAATACATTATGGTTGATTGCCTAATTTTAATAAGTATAGAATACCTTTCCATTTCAAAGCTATGCTATAAATACCATGCCCAGAAGTATTCACACGGGAGGGTTAACACTGTGGTTACTTTATCATTAAAGTAATTGTGAGAATGCACAAAATGACAAGGACTTAAAAGAATAGGCTTTTACACATAAAAACAAAAACAACTTTATTGTGAATGGGGATATATTAATAACAATTTTGAAATTTTATTTTTACAGAGAGTATGCAATATAGAGAAAAATGTTTCAGGAATGGCAATAAATTGGATAAATGAAGAACTTATTTGGTCAAATCAACAGGAAGGAATCATTACAGTAACAGATATGAAAGGAAACAATTCCCGTGTTCTCTTAAGCACCTTAAAATATCCTGCAAATGTAGCAGTTGATCCAGTAGAAAGGTAAATTCTGCTGTTTTCGGACACTGAGATATATTTCAAAATCTGATGCAAATTTATAGAACCACAACATTTGACTCAAAGGGACCTTCTCATTGAGACCACGGCCCTCTTTTACAGTACAGACACACCATTTCCAACAGGATGCTTGCCTGGATTTGAGCCGCGGCAGACTCCTACATAATAGCTCTCCTGACGACCAGAAGCATGATTCTCCACAACTTGAAATCACATGGAAACATCCATAATAGGGCAATAAATATTTGTTGAATTGAATTTTCATTCAAAATAGTCAAGCTTGTCCTTTGCAGACACCTGCAGAAACACTGAAAGAACTGGCCACTTACGTGACCTTCCATTCAGTTATGAGTCTAATTCATGTGTTTGCTCTCAGGCTTATATTTTGGTCTTCAGAGGTGGCCGGCAGCCTTCACAGAGCGGATCTCAGCGGTGTGGGAGTAAAGAGTCTGTTGGAGATGTCAGAGAACATAACCGCCGTGTCGCTGGATGTGCTTGCTAAACGGCTCTTCTGGGTTCAGTACGACAGAGAAGGAAGCAATTCTCGTATTTGTTCCTGTGATTATGATGGAGGTTCTGTCCATTTCAGCAAACATCTTACACAGTAAGTTTGCTTTTGGTGTGAAATAAAACAGTTGCCATTGGAAGTTTGTGTAATAAATTAGTTTTACTTTTTCCCATTAAACTGATATGTGGTTGAACACAGGTTTTGGAGTCTTGAGTTCAAGACCCAGACTTACCCTTTATTCAACAAGTCACTTTGGGCAGGTCGCTTATCCTCAGTTTCCTTTAATATTGGGATAATAATAGTACCTGTTTCTTGGAGCTGTTGTGAAAGTTAAGAAACAAAAGTAATTACGGTATTTAGCATATAATAAGTTTTCACATGTTGCTTATAGTTATTCTCTTTGGAATTATTATGTCATGCACTTGTGAAGTCATACACATTTGATTTGTTATCTTGCCAGTAACGGACTCCCCAGCTTTTGGCAAGAGGCAGAAATTAGTCATGTGCGAAGTGGACAAAACCAGAAATCTGCTCTTATCCTGATCCAATTTTCTTCCCTATTTTATTTCCATCGCACTTACATGCTGATTCAAAGAGAAAGAGATGATGAATCTCATCTTCTTATATCCTGTTAATTCAGAGTATGACTACACAAATGCATTTTAAATGTAATACCTGTTTCTAAACCTGAAAGAAAAATAATAAAAAAGGTTGGTGATTAAAATTCAGACTATAAATTGAAATTAAGTAAAACTTTGATAGCCCAGGAAGTCATGTTCTACCATTCTTTATATGTATGTATGTGTGTGTGTTTCTGTTGTTTTTTTTAGGCACAATTTGTTTGCAATGTCCCTTTTCGGCGACCGTATCTTCTACTCAACATGGAGAAAGAAGACCATTTGGATAGCTAATAAACACACAGGGAGGGATATGGTTAGAATTAACCTCAACTCATCCTCTGCACCACCCGGCGGAATTAAAGTGGTGCACCCACTCGCACAGCCCGAGGCAGAGCACGGCGCTCGGGAGTCTGGTGAGTCCTCCTTGATCTTGCACAGGGGCCGGCACATAGCCACCCCTACCCACTTCTCAAGCCAGACCCTTGGGGTTATCCTTGATTTCTCTCACTGCCTCACCCTCACTTTCCCATCTACCTCCAAGGCCTTCCCACCACTTCTCTCCTCCACTGCCGCCATCACGGTCCGGACACCAGCGCTTCTGGTCTACTGTAGTGCCCACTCAGCTCATCTCTCCATTTTCCTCTCTTACCTTTAAATAGTTAATCTGATCCATTAGCTTTTCCGCTTAAAATCCTTCAAAAGCCCCCCTTTGCATTTAGATTGAAATGTAATGTTTGCCAGGCCTATCAGTATTTGACCACCTGATCTAGCACACTCTCTCCTTCTCCCCTGGCTGGAATCCCACCCAAGTCTTTCCAGAGTTCTGCAGAATGCCTGGCTCCCTCAGGCCTGAGGCCTGTGCACTCACTCTTGTCTGCTACACTTCTCTTCAGTTCTGAGCTGATGTCACGTCCTCAGCTAGGCCTTCTCTGGGCAAACAATCCAGGTGGTCCCTCACCTTCCACTTTTCCCTCAGTAAGCCCTTCATCGAACACGTTGCAAGATGGAATTACATATTACTTTGCTTTCTTTTTGATTTTCCTCCCACTTGATTATAATTACTGTGAGGGCAGGGACCATGTTTGTCATTTATTTATTTGTTTAAACCACCCAATATTCAGTGCTTATTTATTTACTTATAAAGAAAGAATTTTAGATGATGTTATTAAAATGAATGGATTGACTAAATCTAGTCACAGTCCAAAATTTATATTTTTAAATGTAGTCTTCTCCATTTGAATTCTTTAGCATGGACTTGTTTGTTTTTTTAAGGTAGGCTTCTCAATGTAGCTTATATACCACAAAAATGATGTTACATTAACATTTACTTTATGTAAAAGTTTTATTTTAAGAAGGTTTTCAAATATGTTTAATTTTATCCCCAACTAGCCTTGTGAGGTTTTGAAGCAGAGATGGAATTGTTTGTTTTCTCTTCTTCCTGTTGGATGTCACTGGGGTTCGGTAATAGTGTGGGAGATGGTAGGGACTGTGAGTCCCTGACACAATTACTCTACAAATATGTTTGCACCTGTCCCAGACACAGCTCTGGAGAGAGCTGTAGAGACTGACCAGGAGGACAGGCATGAGATTCCTGAAGGAAGGCTAGACCAGGGAAAACTGACATTATTATTTCTTATATCCTCAAGAAGGCAACTAATAGTGTGCATGCTTTTTATCTGATTTTTTAAAAACTTAGATAGAAATTATAATTTAACTTTTGTAATGACTATACTTCCAACGCGAGTAATGAGGAATTGCCAAGAAAATAATAAATTCCAAGTGATGGAGCACTTATTCAAAAAAGATATTTTTTAAAAATTGATTTCCTTGAATGTACAAAGCAAGAGTGTGGGAAACAATTCAGCTGTGGGTTGCAGCACAACACTGAACAGCAACAACATAGTGATAACACTATCAAGTAGATGGTGACCATATGCCAGGGAACCTTCTGGGGGAAATTGTGACTCAAGCTATCTTCAAATTCATTGCCCAAGTGGTGACAACTCATAACAAAATAAGAACCAAAAAGACTCTAACTGAATAAGTAACTGTGAGTCTCATTCATAATATAGATGTGTCCATCCTCATCCTCATCACCATCTCTTACATTTATATGTCACCTCATAGTTTCCAAAGCACTTTTATGGGCATTATATTATTGATTTGTCACAGCAACACTGTAAGACAGAAAGCCCAGCAGTTATTGTACTGGCTTCATAACTGAGGAATCTGAAGCCTAGAGAAATAGGGTGACTTTTCCAGGATTGCACAGCTTGTTAATGCCAGGGTTGGGGCCAACTCTTGGTGATCAGCCTGTGAGTTTAGTGCTCTTTCTCCCGTCGACACGTTAGCTCTTCAGAGTCCTTCATTATTACTCAGCCTCCTGGGTAAGGATTTCAAATAGGGTAATTGAAAGCATGAATTTCAAAAGAAAATCTATAATGATTCATTACAGAACACTTCAAACAACGTGGCAAATAATAGAATTTGGTCGGGAAACCACTGCCCGCTACAGAGCTACAGGCAAACCTGGAATCTGGAAGGCGGTTGGCAGTGGAGACATTGGCTCCCACTGTCGACCAAGGGATGTAATTCACAGGTTCCAAGTGCAAAGGACTTTTGATATCAAGATGACTGTTAAGTTGGCCATTATGAAATAGGTTTAAATTGTTTTCATGCCTTGTGGACCAGGAATTCTTCACCTGGGATTTAGAGTCTGTGAATCTCTTGATTATATGTGTTAGATGAAAATATGCAATCGTCCCCATTAGGGGTAAGGGATATAACTTTCATCAGGTTCTCAAAGTCCTGATATCCTTTGCATTTACAAACATACTTTTCTAGAGGAAGGTTAGTTCCTACTGGATAATGGGCTTACAACTGCAACTCCTCTGCGGAGGGGTCAGGAGTAGCACTTGGTTTGCAAGGCATTTAGAAGTGAGACTGCTTCAACAAGGAGATAATTGAGAAATATCATGTACCCTGGTTGATATTATTTTTTGTTATAAAATGTAAGCATTTATACACATCAATAAACTTTGTGCAAAATGCCTAAACTATCATTTATCAAGATGCTCTACAAAAGACTAGCTCTGTGGGATCTAATGAGGGTATTTGGGGAAAAACATTTCAAGGTCAAATGATTTAGAAAGGCTGGGTTAAGAAAAGTTAAACAGATTTTTTTTCTTTTCCTCAAATGGTTTCTCAGAACCACTTAATATGGTTAGGTGCACTGTTGATCTCTACGGGCAATACGAAGGGTGGCATTTTCCTATTTACTTCCTATGCCGCAGCCCACTTGACACCCGATGTATTTCTAGCCCAGACCTCTTTCTTGAGATCTAGACCTTTTTTTTTTAAAAAAAAAAAAAAAAGACAGGCATGGTGTAAGTTAAGTGGCAAAGATCAACTGCAGAGTTAAGCAGAGAAAAGTAATTAAAAACATTGGGGGTTTGCCCTGGCTGGTGTGGTTCAGTTGGTTGAGTGTTGTCCCATGCACCGAGAGGTTGCTGATTTGATTCCTGGTCAGGGCACATACCTGGGCTGTGGGCTCGATCCCCAGTGTGGGGTGTGCAGGAGGCAGCTGATCCATGTTACATTCTCACGTGGACGTTTCTTTCTTCTCCCTTCCTCCCTCTTTAAAAATCAATAAACTATTACTATAAAGTATTCTTTAAAAAAAAAAAGCTCACTGGGATTTGTTCAGAATAGACAAAAGAGAGAGAGTAGCCAGGTGGAAGAGCAGCGAAGACTGTTGTCTGACCAGGGAAGGGTGGGGCTTCCAAAGGCAAAGTCGCAGACTTCACAAGGAAGCCTCCTTTGTTGGTTTAGACTAGGCCTGGGCTTGTCGATGCAGACTGGCTGGTTAACAAGAGCTCCATGCAGCCAACTGCTGAGCTGAGCCCAGGTCTCCATGGTCCAGCCACAGTTTCACCGTCAGGCCGGTTTGCTGAATGCTGACCAATTTCCAGAGAGCAGTTACTCCGGTGTCTTCTCTGGGCCATGCCTGCTTGTCGGCTGTCCCCTCCGAGCTCACGGTCCTGCAGTGGGCACATTCTATGTACACGTTCAGGCTCAGTGAATATGAATATTTGCTTTCTTTTATCTCAATCCTCACCTGAGGATATTTTTCTATTTATCTTCAGATAGAGTTAGAGGGAGGGAGAGAAAGAGAGAAACATGAGAGGGGCACATCGACAGGTTGCCTCCCACACGACCCCGACTAGGACCAGGGACAAACCACAACCAAGGTACGTGCCCTTGGCTGGAATCAAACCCGCGAATCATTGGTCAGCGAGCTGACGCTCTAATGGCTGAGCCAAACTGGACAGAGCTGAAATGCCTTTTCATTGATTGGAATGACTCTTTATCATTTTTTTATCTTCTTTCTCGCTGTTGGCTCTCATTGCTTGCTCATTTTTACATGCCTGGCTGTGACCTCACTTTATCTTCTAATCTGGGGCTTTTTCTTGCCATTTGTTTATTGAGGAAACCAGATCATTTGTTTTGTAGAATTGTTCACATTCTGCATTTTGCAGATTATATCTCCATGGTGTTATTTAACATGGTTCTCTATTTCTTTGAACAGGTAGTTTAGGCCTAGAAGTCTGATCAGATTCAGGTTTTTTGCAAGAATACCTAATAGGCGGTGCTGCAGGCAGTACTGTATGCTTCCTACTGATCACACCAGTGGGCATGTAGTTGCTGGTTCTTGTTCTTTTGTGATGTTTGAGCTCCATCAGCAGTTCTGATATTGCAACCCTGGTCAATCCATTACAAAATTTCCCATCAGCCTTTTGCACAATTAGGCTTCAGAAGCTATTGTTTATCATTGCCCAGAACCATTTTTGGGTTAGATGATAGATTCAAGTCTATCATCGTTATGCATTTTTTTGGTGAAGAAATTTTTCACATAAGCTATACAATTTCTTTGAGGAGGATTTTTTTTTTTTTTTATAGGAAAGGTAAACTAAATGCTTAAGTCTTTCCCTAATTTATCTGTTTTCAGAATAATGGTTAGTATAGTCTCTAAAGGTGATCTTATTTTTAAACATCTTTATAAACTCATGGATTAAAAAAAGGTTTGACATATTTTTATTTATTGCGGCTATTATCATTTGGGCACTCAAATTGTACCATCTTTCTCTAGGAGGAGCCCTGATTTAAGGCTTCTAGTCTTCATGGGAACAATGACCAGTAGGATCATCTCACCTGCTCTTTCCCAGTAACTGCCCCAGGAGGTGTGGGAGCTGGGCTGAGGCCGTGCCTGGGCTCAGGGAGAAAGACCACTGGAATCACGTAGCCACTTCGCTGTCAGGGACTGTAGTGTTGTTGGGTGTCACAATGGGGATGCAGGATGCACACCTTGCATTTTCATTTTGATGCTATGGGCTGGTCAAACTTGTCAGGAATG